GGCTGATTTTTTGATTTATTGTAGAGATGAGGTCTCGCTGCCCAGGCGGGTCTCGAACCCGTGGGCTCAGGCAATCCACTCACCTCAGCCTCCTGTATCAGCCCACGTGCCTGTGCTCATGTGGGCAGGAAGTACCAGGAAACAAATGCCGGCCTCCTCAGGAGCAATCTTCAACCAACAACTCTCCAACGTTGAATGAACACCTTGGGTCTCTTGCCCCTTGTGTGGGGATATCGCTCATGAGCATCTTCTACGTTGTTTCTCCAACGTTGCCAGAAGGATGAAGCTCTAGTTGCCCACGGCAGTAACTTGCTTGACAGCGCATCTTTTGACGGGCTGCCTCCCCTTCTCTCTCTCATATTCTCACCCTTTTGTGTTTCCCAGGATCACTATTTGCGCTTGAATCTTTGCCTCAAGTTCTGCTTCTGGGGCAGCCCAAACCTAAGGTACTAGATAGATTATTGTGAAGATTGAACTTGGAAAGTTCTTGGCTTACATTAATTGATTAGTAAATTCATCGTTGAGTGAACAAATAAATGAGGCCTGGCCTGCCCTGAAAAGATAGACCAAGGGCAGGGGAAGGAGGGAGGGAGAGAGCTGGGACCCCAGCAGATGAGCGTGGGGTTGGGAGGATCCAAGAGAGGCTGTCTCTGCCGCGCCCCACCTTCAGCAGCTGTTGTCCCCCTCCATTCCTCCCCGTTCTGAGTCCTCTTCCTGGCCCCTCTGGTGGTTACAGGTTCAAGATGTGGCTGGACCACATTGCCCAAAGCACACAGAGCAGCACAGCCAGATGCTCTCATCAGCAAGCTCCTGTGTCAGCTGGCTGGGAGGACGACACACACCGAGTGAGCGCCAGACTGGGGGGAAAACACTACACGAAGTAAAAGTGACATTTAACTTGCTGTGCCTTTAATGTTTAAACAATTTGAATTCACATTACAAAATGACAAGCTTGTGGAGACCAACATTTAAAACACAGTTGCAAAAGGAAGTCCCTCCTCTGCTTGATTCTCTCCGGGGCTGTTCATGACTACAATGTTTGCTCCTTCCCCTAGGCCCAAGTCCTCCATCTCTGAAGGTCTCAGAGAGGGCAAGGGGCTTGACTAAGGTCACAGAGCTCCCCTGGCTTTGTCTTTAGTGCTGTTGCCACCACATATTGTAGAGCCACTTTCAAAGCAACTTTTCCTGGGAAAAAATCCCAACTGCCTCTTGACAGAGGCGCTACCTATTTTATTCTCCTTGGGTCTGAAAATTGTGGACAGAAACCCATGGAGATCCCAGTGCCCCAAGTGGTGTTGTCATACAGCAAGCTGGGGACGAGGGGGGAGGGTTCCTGGGGGTGGAAGGGGTGAGGGCTTTGTGTGCGTGGTTATGAACGGGAGGAGACAGCCCTGCCCTGAGTCCATTTCAGGGTCTGAGAGGCAGTTCAGAAAAGAAGGAAGACACAGACCTTCCCCGTAAATAGCTTTGCTTCCATGCTGGGCACAGAGCTGGTAGGGGCCGGGTGAGGCAGCCAGGGCTACTCCTGAGAGCCCCAGGACTTAGACGGGGCTCTGTTTAATGACCCATTCGCCATGGGGGTTGGCACGGTACAGATCTACGAGGTAGGCATCTGGGTCCAGGCGATGCTCACCTGTGCGAAGAAGAGATGAAGTTGAGAGAGTGTCTGTGGAAGATGCAGTTGCCCTCCCAGAGACCTCTACCAGGCGGTGCACTGTCCCCCAACTGTGCAAGTCTTGGCTGCTGTGACTTACAGCTACCCTTTGCTCTGACCTTTGCTCTGACCTCCTCAATGGAAGACACCTTGTCAGGAAACTGTCATCCCCCTCCCCCAGATCAACCCACAGCCAATGCCAGAACAATACAGACCTACCAAAGACCAGCCTCCTTGCCTCCGCATGGAACAACACATGCAACTGGCACTCCAGAGCCCCTTGTGGATCAGGCAAAGTCCCAGGATGTGGGTTGTCCTGACTCCTTCCCCGGAACTCTTTTCCTGAGGCACCCCTCAGTGCATCACGCACTCCCAAAGCCCTGTCTCAGTCTCTGCTTCTTGGCCGCAGCTCTCCAAGTGCAGGCCCTGGACCAACAGCATCACCTGGGATCTTGTTAGGAATGCACATTCTCAGGGCACCACTGGGGGCTATGCCCTAATAGCCTTAATCACCCTCCAATGATGCTAATATTCCGCTAACATTTCAGGATCACTGCCCTAGAGAACACAACTGGAAACAGCAGCCTACATCCTTGGTTCCCACAAAGCCACGGACCCGTCAGAGCTGGACAGATGTTTGCAGAATTCCTAAGGCCTCCGTGACCATGGGCCTGGGGTGGGGCCCACCTCGGCTAGGGTGTCCCAGAGGCATCAGTCTCACTGGTGGTACTGACAATCTTCACACTAAACCCAAATTCTGCCCTTCTCTCCAAGCCCGAGACAGTCCAAACTCCAAACCACAGAATGGATTCCTAAGACGTGCACAGGCCAACCTTTAACCTCATGGCTGGGCACCACCTGGTTTCTGTGGCAGCAAAGCCTGAGGGGGTGGCTCATCTCAAGGCGAACTCTGGCCTCCCCCAGAGGGGTCCAGTGAGCCTTTAAAGTCAAAGGACTATCAGGAACCTGGGCTCTGCTCCCACCTCCCACAGAGGAACTTACCGATATTCCCCCCAACTTCATAGAGGAGGAGGTTGGCTGACTCCATGGACCTGAGGCTGCAAGACACAGAGAAAAAAACTATTGGCCTCTTCTTCTAGAGGCAGCAAGGTCAACAACAGTTTATGGTCCCAGGTCTGGAAAGAAAAGTCCCCACTGACTTTTTTATCCTGGAAGGAAAAGAGACCTAAGGACCCTCCTGAGAGAACTGGAACCAATGAAGAAGTCCAGCGTCCAGGGGCTAGGACAAGCCAGCTGGCACACAGGGAGGGCATGCAGTGAGCGCCAGCCAGGGTTGTTCCCTGCCATAGGCCCCTTCCTGTGATGGCAAGATGAGGGGTGACAGACAGGAACAGGAGCCTGCCGTGAGGGGCAGATTCTGAGTCAAGATGGATGATGGACATTGTATGCGTCCACATGATAATTATACTTGTCATATAAATACCAGGTAACTATTGTGTGATAATTGCAGGTACCCCAATTCCCATTCTAGGATCTGCCTCTGATGTGCGGTGTGGCCCTGGGCAAGCCGCTCTTTTTCTCGGGGCCTCAGTGTTCCCACCTGGAGGAGGAGGAGCTGGAACAGACGCTTGTGGAGAACGACAGTCTGCCAGCCCCGAGAAGGAAGCTCCGGGGCCTCAGGCTGCTCTTTGCCTCCGGGAATGACAGCGTATCAGTCTCCACCGGCCTTCTTCAGCTCCTTGGCCTGCTGCGTCCCTGGCTGCCTCAGGACCTTTGCCCAGGCAGTTTTCTGTGCCTGGAAGCCTTACCTCACGCCCCAGACTGCACCAGGGAACTCGTTTTGCATTCACTTTTTTATAAAGCCGAATACACTTTGTCACTTGATATTTACTTCGTGACTATTTGCTTTATCTCTAGCTCTTCAACAAGACTGTGAGCTTGCAAGGCCAGGGCCTCTGTCTGTTCTTTTCACGACTATTCTAGTACTCCACGTGGTGCTTGACTGACAGTAGGCATTCATTAAATACCTATTAAAATGAATGAATGGATGGTGGTCATTATCACTATTATTTGGAACCAAGAGGCTCCTGAGGTTGGAGAATCTGTCTGGTCATTCCAGAAAGGGAAAAGCCAAAGGCCAAGCCACAACACGTGTAACTCCCTTGTGGCCTTCAGCTCCAAAGTGCTGACACCTCCCTGCACCCACTCTGCTCCCTGCAGTGGAGTGGCTCCTGCCTCCTGGGGGTGCCCCTTACTGTAGGAGGAGGCTGTCTGAGTCCTCACTGCCCTCTTGACCTTTTGAACCGGGGCTGAGGTGCTCCATGAACTGCCTCAGGACATGGGCCACTTTGGTGCTGGGGGTCAGAGGCACTTTCAGGGGGTCCTTGATAGGCCAGGCCACCTGGATCTTTGCCACCTTGGGAGTCTGGAGAGAGAGAGAAAGAGCCATACACACAGGCACCACGTCCATGCCTGGAATTCAAACATACGTGCATAAACACATAGACATGTGCACTTACACAAATCCCACGCTAAACATCACAAGATGCACACGAATGCACACGTACACACCAGCCGCACACACACACACCCCCACAGCACTGCACAGAAACATGCCTGCACTTCTGAGCATGTGCTCACACAATGGGAGTGCATGCTACCCTCCCACAAACGCCTGCACGTCGATGTATGTGAAGACCCAGCACCCACGCATCATGTACAGCGCAGGTTCACTCTGGTCAGTTTCTCTGATCTGGACTTTAATAAGAAACCATATCCAAGATCCCCTCCCGGGAACACTCCGTATTCTTGGAAGGCCCCTCCCCTCTCACACGACCCCCGCCCCAGCCCCAGTCATCCCACAAAGCAACCCCTACTTTCCCAATCCTGCCAGGAGCTGCCTAAGATTGGGGCGGGGGATCTGGCTTCTAGAAATCCCCTCGCCACTCCAGCTTCCCCCTTCCTCAACCCCCTTCACCTCCCTGATTTCTGAGACACCGCGACGGCGCCGGGGCGCCCCCTGCTGGTCTCAACAGGCCGTTCCTAGCTGGAAAGATTCCTTCGCACCCGCCGCCTGCGGCCCCTTCCCCCCCCGCCCGGGGTGAGGGGCGCTCACCGCCTCGGGGCCGTCCCCCGGCTTGTCCCTGTCTGCGTGTATCCTCCGCAACCAAGTCTTGAGGCCCGCGTCGCAGAGTTGGGGGCGCCGGCTGCGGCCGTCGTTCAGTTTTCGCACCTGGGCCACCAAGAAAGAGGCGACCTGGCCAGAGAGAATCTAGTCTTCACGGGGACTGGGGCTGCTAGGGGTGAGAGGCAGAGCCCCCTCCAGGCCCCTGTGTCCTCTTCCCTGTCCCAGCATCCCACAGAGCTTGGAAACACGTTTTTTGTTGAACTGAAACACTAGCGTGGTGGAAGGAAGGGGGAGGGGGCCGTCAAGTCCCCCAAATAGAGCCTTGGAGCAGGGGACTGGAGAGCAGAGATCACCCTGAGGCTCAGTGGACAGGGGTCTCCCCCACCCTGGCTGGAGGGGCAGCTGCTCATTGGCACACTCAGGCAGGAGTGTCCCCAAGAACACACCTGGAGTGAGGTCCTGCTCTGAGAGCTCGGGACAGTCCACACTGGGGGATTCCTAGAGGCCTCCAGATCAACCTCTGCCTGTCGGTGGCATTCAGACTCAGCACATGGACTCAGAGAACCCGGACTCCATGGACCCTGATGATAATGCACACACTTCCCGGGGTCTGACAGGCCTGGGGTAGGTTCTGGGCTCCTCTCTTTGCATAATGTGTGCCCCTCGCCGTCATCTACATCTATGTTGTCTAAGGCTTTTATAACAAGAAGGCATTCAGGGATTTCTTGAAATGTTAAAGCTCCCCCCAATAAAAAGGGATTACAATCCAGTGTGTTTGAGCAGTGGCATTATCTCAGAGAAGAAAGGAACTGTGGGGGTGTACAGGGAGTATGGGGGAGAAGGAGGAGACTTTCCACAGAACGGCTGACTCTTGAAGTAGGTCTCGAAGAATAGGCAGAGGGCACCAGGCTTCTGCCCTTTCCAAAAAAGGGGGGGGGAGTGGAATTCCAGGCAGAGTGAACCGCATAAGCGAAAACTCAGAGTCTGGAGTTCAAGATGAGTTTGGAGAGCCAGCTGGCACTTGGTGTGTTTAGAACACAGACAAGTGCCCAGACAGCGTGGGGGAGAAGCCGAGAACAGTCAGAGAGGGTTTCACTTGCTGGTTTCTGGAATAAGAAATCTAATCTGATGACTTTATGGGTAGAGGGAGGGATAGAAGGAAGGATGATGGGTGGTGGATGGGTAGATAGGTGGATAGGTGGGTGGATAGTAGGTGAATGGATGGTGAATAGGTGGTGGATGCACGAACTGGTGGAAGGGCGAGTGGGTGGATGGATGGATGGATGCATAGGTGGGTGGATGGGTGGGCGGATGGATGGATGCATAGGTGGGTGGGTGGATGGGTGGATGGATGGATGAATAGGTGGGTGGGTGGATGGATGGGTGGATGGTGGATGGATGGATGGACGGATGGATGGGTGGATGGTGGATGGATGGATGGACGGATGGATGGGTGGATGGATGAATAGATGGGTGGATGAGCGGATGGTTGGATGGATGGATGGGAGACTTACTGGAGGAGGGATGAATGGATTGATGGATAGAGGAGGATACACATTTCTAAGTGAAAAAGTGACCTGATCTGTGGTGGCAGATGATGCTACCTTATACTCAAGGGAGTCTCGAGAGCTGGAGGGGTCTTCTCAGTGCTCTTGACCCACCCTCGACATTCAGCACACCATGCATGCTTACCTATACCAATGAGGGGGTCTCTCTCCCTGCTCTTGCCCCCGCTCTTGCTGTTGCCTGTAACTCAGGGCAAACCTCATGGTGGGGAAGGGGGTATCTCTGCTATCTGGCTCTGGCTCTGTCTTAGGCAGGCCCTGTGATCCTGAGCCTCAGGGGTGAGGTTTCCTCAGCAGCATCAAAGCTTTGATGTGGAAGAATTCTTTATAGGATCTCCAGGAATGCTTGAAATCTGGGATGGACCAGATGGCTACAAATTGAGAGATATGAAAAAAGTGTAGGCATCTCTCTTTGGACATTAAGGTAGGGAGAGAAGGAAAACGAAGGAAAACCACATGAGTGGTTTGAAAGGACAGTGCCCGTGATCCTGGATGGCAGGGGTGCCAGGGCAACTGCACCCAGAGGTGGGCCAGAGCCTGTCCAGGCTGCCCATGTGGACACCCCTCCCCTGCTCCTTGTGGCCCAGTAGTGCTCACCGTCCACAGCAGATCCTGGTAGTGCACCATCATCTGCACCACCTCAGCTGCTCCCTCTGCCAGCTGCTTCTCCTTGCCTTTGGGGAGTTTGAGGGGCCTCCCTTGATGCAGGAAGAGGTTAGGGGCCATCACTGTGGAAACACTCCACAGTGTCATCTTGTTGTGCTGTTCCTGGGCCACCACCTTCCTGAGGAATTCCAGGAGTGCCTGGGGAAAGGGACAGAACCTCCCTCAAATCTCACATCCCTGGGCTGCCCCGCCATCCCCAGGACATCCTGATGCGTGATGTGGGGCGCTAGGAAGGAGTCAGGAGCTGGAAGGGCAGGAAGAGGAGTTTCAGTTCCAGCGATGCCACCAGCCCACTCCATGAGCTCTCTATGCCTCAGTTTCCTGCTCTGCAAAATGTGACCCAAACTCTTTCCCTTTTCTGCTTCCTGAGAGATGAATGAGACATCTGGGTCAGACTTCAACTTCCAAGGAGAGAGAGGCCACAGGTCTGGAAAGTGAGTCTTTTCCTGGGATGTCTTTTTGGAGTCTGGATCTACCCAAAATGCCAAGGAAAGAATAGAGCCGCAGAGAATCAGAAAGAAAGGGAGAGGATGATGACAGCTGCCACTTACTGAGGATCCTTTGTGTTCCTGGTCCTTTAGTTAGCACCGTGCATGCATTTCTCATCTCACTTAATCATCACTACAACTCTGTAAGGTACGTTTTACTACTGTATCTATGTTATAGGGAAGGAAATTGACTTGGAGAATGTACCAAGGGCCATATAACCAGTAAGGACAAAGGGGATGGGGAGTGAGGGAAGGATGGATGGATGGATGGATGAAGGATGAAATATGGATGCAAAGAGGAAAAGAAGGAAGAATAGAGAGAAAGAGGGAATGGGGTGGGAAAGGAGGGAGGGAGGGAAGAAGGAAACATACTGAGCACCTCAAAGTATATCTTTCATTCTACGATTCGTCATGCTATTATTACGGATAAGGAAAAAGAAACTCAAGCAGGAAAACCCTGGCCTCCTCAGGCTTACCCCAGAGGCCCAGCTTGAGTCTGACCCAAGGACAGCCAGGAGGGTACAGGCAGCTGAGCCAAGTCTGCTCTCAGCCCTCGGCCTGAGCAATCCCTCCCACATGACAGACACAGTGGATTCCCTGAGGGACTGTTTCCCATACGGGTTCCCGATGGACCACCAGTGCCAGGCAACACCTTCCACAACAAAAGAGGCCCATGACCCACTGAGTTTAGAAAGTGCTGCGTACTCTAACCCCATGTGGGGATCCCCAAAGCCTCAGCATACTGAAGGCTCTAAGAAGTCCTGGGAAAAATCATCTTCAACTTTGTCTCATTAACTCTGTGTTTACTCATCTTGTTTGGACACACAGTCCTGTCCCCATGACACCTGTTAGCACCATGTAGAATGGATGTTCCACAGTGTTCATGGCTGGCCTGTCCCCTTACAGGACTCATCTGCTTTCTTTAGGAAAAAGTCTCAGAAAAGGTCTGCGTGGGTCATCCCTGTCCCAGCACCTGACGTGGTTGTTGAATGAATCAATGGGCACACTGGGGGCCATGACTGTGGTTCCAGCTGAGATGAGAGCATGGAGCAGCTCGTGGCAATTCTCACCTTCAAGGTGTTTCTGTTGGCTTCTGGGAGGATGAGGATGAGCAGGTGAAGAGCCTGCAGGCGCTGCTTCAGGTCAGGGATGCCTGTGGGACCGGGGGGGGGGCCTTAGGCTGGGAGAGGGCTCAGGGCCTCTCCCTCCCCACCTGGCCTCTTTGTGGAAAAATTCCAGAGTTGGAAAGCCCAGGGACAGCCAGAAATCCCTCTTCCATAAGGTCCCGGCTGTTTCCTGATCTAATGCTGACTCAGAAGAACCCTGACCAGTGCTGGTGGGGGGCTCACTCACTGTACTTGTGAATGAAGAGTAAATATCTATATGTGTTCTTGAGCACAAAGGCACACACACACACAGGCCTGGTTTGCAGCCTGAGAGCTACAGTCCAGGCTCGGAAGTGCAATAAGCCGCGTCACCCTTAGGTGGGCGCTGGATAGCTCTGCTGTCCTGGGGAGGAGCCTTCACGAAGCCCTTTGTGTTGTGAGGGATGAAATGGAAAAGTTGCCCTCCCCTCTCCTCCCTCTGGTGTCAGGGTCTCCAGGGAGAGGAGGGGTAGGAGTTATGGAGGTCAATGAAGTTCCCTAGAGCCAGACTGGACCCAGCAGCCAAGAGCTGGTTGGAACCCGGAGAACGGTTGCTCGGGAGACACGAGGCTGAGCACGCAGGGCTTCGGCCCTAGAATCCTGTGTGGCATCCACGCATTCATTCATTCATGCACTCACTTCTCAATAAATATCTATCAGGTGACTGTTGGGTGCCATGCTCCAGTCCAGGAACCTGGGACACAGTAGTGAAGGAAGCAGATAGGTCACAGACTCGTGGCGACTCCATTTCAGAGGAGAAACAGGTGATACACAAGCAAAGAAACAACTAAGTATCTCCAACACGGTACTGGCTTATGGAGAAATAAAAGAGTAATGACAGGCATCGGGCATCGTGATATCATCACGTAGGCTGGGCAGACAGCATGGCATGTGGGGTCAGAGGGGCCTCTTTGAGGCACTGACTTTGAGCGGACAGATGGGTGGGTGGGGCGGAGCTTCCAGTCAGAGGGAGTAGCATGTGCAGGGCCCTGAGGAGGAAACAGGAGGGACTTGAAGGCAGGCAGGAAGGCAGGAAGGAGGGCCGCCAGGAGGAGAGGAGTCAGAGAGGGCAAGTGAGGGGATAGGTGAGAGCTTATCTGAGAGTGCTGGGGGGTGGGAAGTGAGAGCAGAGGGTGGAGGGGACCTCTCAGTGTCCCTCCCCTCGTGTGGGGGTGGAAATCAGACTGCCTGAGCCCTCAAGATCACAAGGGGGATCTCAGGCAGGTGGTTTTATTCTTTTAAGAAAATTAGAAGTGACTGTGTTTGCACGCTGTGGACTGCGAAGAAGTCCAGACAGGAAAATAGATTTGCAGGGTATAAATAGAGTGAGGTCTGTGCAGTACATACCAGCCTGCAGTCGTGCACACATGCAGACGGACATGCACACACACGCGTGCCCACAGATAAGCGACAGATAAGCTCACCCCAAGGATGTGAAGAACTGAAGGACGCTGGTCCTGTCCACATGAGGACTAGTAAGGACCATGGTGCACAAAATCTTAGACTTCTCTTCTCACACATATGTGCACACATGTGATACATGCACACACAGCATACAACACCCATGCACATGCCTACGCGCACACATCAGGCACGCATGCTCACAGATACTGCTTCTGCCATCGGCTCGAGGTCCCAGAGATAGACATTTCTGGGAACAGATAGCCCATCTTCACACTCCTTTCCCTCTACAGCCAAGGCAGTGCCATCAAACCTCCTGCTCTCCACAGGCAGAGGGCTGGGCACACTCACGGGACGCCACGGCGAACGCCGGGAGGTACTCAGCCGTGAGCAGAGGCGTTGGCAGCTTCCGGATGAACCTCTTGAGCAGGTCCGATGCATCATTGTGATGGACCTCGTCCCAGCTAAAAAGACCCGCATAGAAGTCTCTCTCCAGCTTCTGTTCCAGCCCCTATGGGAGGGAGGGACACAGATATGTGGTTGTCCCAAGTCTCCTGTAGAAGTTGCTCTACCACTTCCCTGGGCCTCAGCTTCCTCACCAGCAAAGTGGGGACAGCAGTAGCATCTCCATTGCAGGTCAAATATGGAGGATTACTGGCCTAGTGTGTGAGTCACTGAACAAGTGGCTCCACTCAGCAGATGTGGGTGGTCTGACTCCAGGACCCACACTCTCAACTACCAAGCTAACTGCGCCACCTCCTCCTTCTCCAGCCCTCCTGGAATTCATGACCCACACAGAGACCAAAGACAGAACACAGACAAACCATGCACTGGCGTCTCTCCTGGCTTAACACACCTGTGAGCACATGGGGAGACGCAGCCTCGGTGAAGTGGAGAAGCCAAACCATTACCTTGACCCTGGCCTGGGATCCAGGCACCCTGAGAATGCCTTCCATGTTCAGCCCTCTCTTTTCCAAACAGGACAGCAGCTATCAGAGCAAAAAGCCAATGTTTAAACCGGCAGCCATTGAAAAGTGGGATTCATACTGGCAAGTCTATCTCCCATGAAAACCAGGAAGAGGAGAGTACTAGGAGAAGGATAACCCCCCCAAGAATTATAGCTTTCTTGGCCACTTTCACAAGGCAGACATTTTTCTCACTTAATCATTAATAAGAGAAGGATGCTGTTCTTATAATCCACTTTACAGATGTTGAAAGGTAGACTCATGGAAGCTCAGAAATCCACCCCGGTCTCTGAGCTAGCAAGTGCCAGAGCCAGAATCTGAACCCAGGTCTGAGTTTAAAGCCCACACTCTCACCCTATGCTAGACATCTCCTGACAATGGTACCCAGAGCCAGCCTCTGAAGGGCTAAGTAAGCCCCTGCTGGGGACCACTTACGGCCTGCAGTACCAGCGGGACCTGTGTGCTGGGGAGGACTTTGTGGTCTGCTTCCAGCAGGCTGTCGAGGGGCACGCCAAAGAGGTGAGTTTCTGCAGGAAGTCAGAGAGCAGAAGGGGCATTTCACGTCCTGGCACGAGAGTGGGGCTCCCACCTGCAAGGTCACCTGAGTGACTGGGATCAGACCACTCTCCTGTGGAGGGACTGAGCTTTCTAGAGAATGGTTGAAAACTCCTCATCTCTTGGGCAGAACAGTCAGCACCGCGATGATGACAACAGTGGCTGTGTCACAGAGCACAGAATCTCACCTGGATGAAAACGGAATGAGAGAAAAATGTGCTGCTGTCTCAGGGAGTGCTGGGTGCAAAAACTTGTTTCTCGGCAGGACTGGGCCAAATTCCCATGTATTCTCCATGTCTTCTCAACCATCCCAGCTTAAGACATTCTCAGGCTGACTTTCCTTCTTTCTCCTTTCACTGGTCCACCCCACCTCTGCTTGTCCCCTTCCTCTGATCTTTCTTATCCAACCTCCTCTTGTCTTTAAAGAAACAAAGAAATATAAATGCATAATGTTGAAAAGGATGCAGTGAGACGAACACTTTCATACATGATCTATGGGCAATATACATCTAGAACTTAGCTCATAAAGATATTCTAAAATAATCTATGGTGCATTCAAAGTTATGTGTACAGCAACAGTTACTGTGTTTTATGATAAGAAAGACATGGGCATCATAAATGTCCACTTATAGGGAAATGACTAAATATATTAGGATGCATCCATAAGGAGGAAAATAGTACAGTGAATAAAAATCATGTTTCCGGCCGGCTTGGTGGCTCAGCCTATAATCCCAGCACTTTAGGAGGCCAAGGCGAGTGGATTGCCTGAGCCCACGAGTTCAAGACCAGTTCGAGCAACTTGGTGGGACCTCATCTCTACAATAAAAAAATCAAAATATTAGCTGGGCATGATAGTGCACGCCTGTAGTGTTGGCTACGCGGAAGACTGAGGCAGGAGGATTGCCGGAGCCCAGCAGGTTGACGCTGGGGTAGCCGTGAGTATGCCGCTGCACTCCAGCCTGCGTGACAGAGTGAGACTCCAACTCAAAAAAAAAAAATCATGTTTACAAAGAATGTTAATCATTGTGATCAATGATACTACTGTTCTGAGTACACCACCTCTCCCTGCCTCCACACCCTTTGCAGGTCTTCCCATTAGAGAAGCAGAGCCAACTTACCACCCCTTGCTTTGGGCTCTCGGCTGAGTGACTAATTTGGACCAAGCAAAGGCTTAAAATGTGTTGTGTGGTAGACTTTGCCCCCTGAGCTTCCGCCACAGCCACAAAAACGTATGCCAGAGGGTCTGCTGGTCCCAGGAGGATAAGAGACCCATGAGGCGATCCTAGACCCAGCCGACAGCTTGGAGTCAGGCCCAGCCTAGATCAGCCAAACCACCCCGGTTTACCCACAAACATGTGAGCAAGAGTAAAGAAGTATTAAGTCATGAGTTGGGTTGTTTGCTATGAAGCGGCATCATGGCAATTGCTGATCAATACAATAATTGGGAAATGTCCATAATCAATAATATTCAGGGAAAAGGACACAGGCATAGGAAGATACCCTAAAAGGCAACAGTGCTTATATCTGAGTTGTATTTTTCCTTTTGGTATTTTTCTCTATTTCCCAAATCTCCCACAATGAGCAGGAATTGTTTTCAGAGGCAAAAAAGTAATAACATAACCAGAAGAAAGACAGAAGCTGAGCCCATCTTGGCAGGCAGGTCCCCACAAGTCTCCTGGGATGAGAAGCTGGAACTTTCACCTCCGGGAGTCTGCACTGGGACTGCTGACCTGTCGCTTTCCGCTTCCCTGCCTTGCTCCTCTTCAGGTCCAAGCCGAGGACGTCACAGAGCGCAGTCAGCTCTATGAGGGCCAGAGAAGGGACCTTCTTCATATCCTGAAGGGACAGGTCTCCTATCCTTGTCACGCCGAGCCTGCTCTTGGGGATTCCAAACATCTAGAGAGGGGAGTAAAGACAGTGTGTCAGGCCACATCAGATAGGCTTGCTGGTGCTCCCCATGCCTCCCTGGCCTGTAGGCAGAAGAAAGAGCAAAGTGGGAAAGAGGGAGCACTCAGGAGTCATCCTCGATTCGGGTCCAGGCTCCACCTCTGACCAGGTGACATGCTGACTCTCTGATTCCCCTTCTGTGATCATAAAACAGGGCTTGCCCCCCCAAAAGTCTTGTGACAGTAAACGAGCTAATGTGTATAAAGTGCTTAGCCTGGCACCAAGCACAGCGCGAGGCCCCCCCAAATGAAAGCTATTTCACATCTGCCTCCCCACAAAAGGGCTTGGACAGGGGTCCCCCATAGGCCACCTATCCTTGTTTCTATTGTCCTTTGTTCCTCTCCCTCACCCCATCTGTGCCCACCCTTGGCCATGCCACCAGCAGAAATAAATGATGCTCCACTGTGCCATCTAGAGCCCACATGGGGGATCTGCAGGCAATTCCAGGCGTTCTTGCTGCCAAGAGGGAAAGGGATAATAATGCCATATGGTAAAAATGCAACCTAGTGCTTGGTGTGTGGGCTGTGAAATCACACTTCCTGGGTTCAAATTCTAACTTTATCAGTGAGTTCAGGCCAATAATTTTACCTGTCTCTGTCCTGGCTTTCTCATCTGTGAAACAGGACTAATAACAGTGTCTACTTCACAGGACTGTTAGGAATTTAAATTCAATAAACCATAAAAAAACACAGTGCCTGACACATAATGAGTACTAAATAATTATTAATTATTAAAATTTTTAAGCTTACTTACAATGACAATTGCCACCAACATAACTGAATGAAATTAAATAACGTGTGGAAAGTACTTGGCATAATACCTGGTCTGTGTCAAAGATCAATATGTGATATCTTTAGCAGTTAAATTATCATAACTGCTCATCAGAATTAGAGGCCATTGATGATCCCTGATTCAGCACTATTTCTTTCTTTCTTTTTTTTTTTTGAGTTGGAGTCTCACTCTGTAGCCCAGACTGGAGTGCAGTGGCGCTCCCGGCCACCGCAGCCTCGACCTGCTGGGCTCCGGCGATCCTTCTGCCTCAGCCTTCCAAGTAGCTGGAATTACAGGCGCATGCTACCATGCCTGGCTAGTTTTTGATTTATTGTAGAGATGAGGTCTTGCCAAGTTGCCCGGGCGGGTCTCGAACCCGCGGGCTCAGGCAATCCATTCACCTCAGTCTCCCAAAGCGCAGGATTACAGGCTGAGCCACTGAGCCCAGCTTAGCACTATTTCTTTAGGTGACCAACTGGCCACCAAGTGACAATATAGTAAAACTGAGGCCTGTCCCAACCGCCACGTGAGTGAGCCATGTTTCATGGGAATCTTCAGCCCCAGTGGAGCCTTCAGATGATGCAGCCCTGGCTGAGAACTTGACTGCAACCTTGTGAGAGGCCTTGAGCCAGAAACACTCAGGGAAACTTCGCTCAGATTTTTGAGCATCAAAAACTGTGGGAAATAATACATATTTGTTGTTTGGAGTTACAAAGTTTTAGGGAATTTGTCAGGCAGTAGTAGATAACTAATACAGCTTCCGAAGAGAAAAAATAAAAATAAATAAATTATCATTATTCATAACTTAATGGGGAAAATCATCAAGGAAGAAGACAAGATCATGTTTAATATTAATTATCTCTGATGCTTTAGGAATAAAACTCATTATTTTAAAATGCTATTTGAGGTACTGTGGTTAAGGGATAAATTAGGTGTAAAGTACATGGGAACTCTGTACTTTACTGTTTTCATAACTTCTTGTGAGTCTAAAATCATTTCAAAGTAAACAACTGAATAGAAAACTCTATTTGAATGAGTGAAATGCTTTCACATGAGAGTAGCGGTTATTACAGAGAGTGGGGCAAACTTCCTAAGCAGTAGGGAGGAGGGGTCAGGAAGGCTCTGAGGTCAGGCTGAGAGGGCCCAGTCCTGGTGTCTGTGCTAGCCAGCTCTGTCCCTTCTCCCCTATGAGCTCCACTTCTCTTTTTTCTATCATAAAGTGGGAGAGCAGTGACAGCACCCCTCTCCCAGGGCAAGTTAAAGAAACAAGAAGACAGTGCATGGGAAGCCTCGGGACCAACGCCCAGGGCCAGGCAGATGTTCCTCAGCCAGATGTTCCTTGGTTTATCCAACCACATCACAGCATGGTCAGTGAAGAAACTCCTCCTATAGTAACAGCGGGACTGTGACAGGTTATGTGTACTACGTGAAAGAATCAGAACAGTGGCTACTCTGGGGAGAAGGGGTTACTTGGGAAGGGCATGGGTGGGGAGAGGCGGTAGGGTCTATATCTTAATTTGGGTAGTAGTTACATAGCTGCACGCATCAGGCTGTGCATGGTAAGTCTCTGAGCACTTCACTATGAATTGTACTTCAGTCTTCAAGAACTAAATATTAATTTGGACAACTGAACATCTGAATAAACAAAACTAAAATGTTGAATTTCTCTTTCTCATACCAGCCACCAATATTAACTTTAAAAATGATGTCAATGAATTGTTACCAGTTTGCTGGAAGAGAGAGAACTTACTAAGGATAAAAGTAAAGAAGAACATCAAGAAACTATTGATAGTACTGCTAGACTATAAGCTCCCTGCTCCCTTGTCCTTGACACCCAGCCGTCACTCAGTAAATATTGTGGCATGAATTAAATAAATGAATGATTCAGCAATGTTCATGCTGGGTGTGTGTCTGCATGGAACCCCGCCTGGCCACCAGACCTCTGGGCAGCATCCTCACCGGCAGGGAACCCCTGTCCCAGGGGCAGGTGCTTCCCAGGGATGGCCTGGCCCTCTGCAGGAGCACCGCAGCTTGTTCTGAGTAGGCAGAGTCCATGTCGAAGACTTCTTCCCTCTCAGTCTGCTCCTGTGTGCCCCCAGGTTCTGCAACTGCTGGGGAAACCAAACAGAGTGGCAGTGAGAACGAGCTTCCAGAAAGCAAGTTCTTGGGCTTAGGACTCAAGTCCTTAGCCCCAAGAAATGATCTCCCAGGTTCAAGTTCAAAGCCCCAGAATCAAATCATCAGGCTTAAGGCTCAGACCCATTGATCAGAAAGTGATTTCTTAGCTAACAGCCATTGCCCCAGAAGTAATTTCCTAACTAAGGCTCATTGTTCAGAAAGTTATTTTCTAGCTAAGGCCTATTGCCCCAGAAGTGACTTTTTCTGGGTAAGGCCATGGGTCTGAAGGCGATAGCCCACTTAAGGGCCTGACTTGTCCTCTCAAGGCTCCTCCTTACTGCTCAAGGGTCAGCAGAAAGAGGGAAATAGAGTATATACATTCTCCTACTTCACAGAGCAGACCTTTGTGCAGCTGGGAGGATTCCCAGGGCCCTGGAAAAAGAAGGCTACTTACCCAAAAGAGACTTAGAATCTCCAGAACTGAGCCAGGCCCATTTCATACTTGAGTCCCCATTCTCTGAACACACATTCTATGCAAATGACAGAGAGTGCACAATTAGTCACGTGGGAAGCAGATGATACCCACACAACCCTGGGAGATGGGAGCCATCTACAACCTCTTCTTCACAGACAGAGCAGCTGAAGCTCAGAAAAACTAAGTCACTTGCCCAAGGTCCCTAAAGTGGAGGCATGGGCACTGGGGTCCACACACAGTGGCAACAGGCATATATGCATTGCCATGCACAAAGACCTATATGCAGCATGGGGACATAGTAGTGTGCAGGGAGATACACATGTGGAAACCCACACACTCTAATTATACACACAGGCATATACATGCACCCCAACACAACTCTGTAGCAGAATCATTGCATCTCTCAGGCTGTGGTGGCATCACAGAGACCCCAGTCAGACAAGGCCTGTAGTTACCTATATGCCACTTACCCCTGAATTAAAGACCCCAAAGATGTCCCTGACATCTCTAATAGGTGCCTTGTGTCGTCTTTGGGCTGAGTGAGTATAGATATCCAACCGGCGGCACACAGCGGCCACTTGGGTCTGTGTCAGGGTGGACAGGAGCTCCTGGTGACCACCGTCCAATCCCTGGTCACCAAGGAGGCCTGACAGGCCTATGTCCTGCAGCCACTGGGACTCAGCTTCCACTTCTACCAGCAGAGGGAGAAACAAGATGAGTCACACAGTTCCATGCTCAGCCACACACACCAACCAAAGCTCCACGTGGAAGCATGCAGTCGCCTGCTTGCAGGAGCATCCACATACCTTATTATGGCGCTCACTAACATCAGCCAGAATCTTCTTGGGGAGAAGGCCCAAAGAGGCATCTGAATGGGGAGGGGAGTTTATTGATGGCACTAGCCAATATGTAGATTTAAACCCATAAATCTGCCATTCACTGGGAACAGAGCTGGCTGAGGAAGGGCCCTGTGTGTTCTGATTCTGGAATATAGCAATGAACTCACTTCTCCCAAACCTGGCAGAAACTGCCACAGGGTCACATGGACCCAGCCATGCAGGCAGTTGGTGCTCCCTTGGGAAGTCCTCTGCATTCAAGATCTTATTTCTGTTGGAATAGTCTCCTCAACTGTGCTTCACAAGGAGACTGCCAGGTTCCTACAACAAAACCCTTAATTGGGAAGGGAGGACGTGTTGAAACGGCAGCAACCTGGGTCCCACCTCCAGGGGTTTTGCTCCAGGAGTTCAGGCCCAGACTTGGGAATCTGTACCTGGAATGTCCTCCCTGGATTATCTAATGCAATTGGGTCTTCAGATCACACTTGAAAAACATTGGCCTTATTATGGGAGAAATGCAGAAGCTGGACACACATGTGAGGGGCCTGCTAGGGCGTACTTAGTTGTGTTGAGTGTTGACCAAGTTGGTCAACAAGGTACTCATGGCTTTAAAAACCCAGACAAAACTGCTTTTATGGCAGTTGGGGTTGTATACATGGGCCAGACATGGAAATCTTTCCCCAGCATTTTTCCTGCTCTTGGGAACCAGAACAAATGGGCAGTCACAACGATGTGGGTCCCCTCCTGACTTGTGCCAGCTGGTGAGGGCACTTATTCTATCATGATGCTGGGACTTGCTTCATTTGTACAGGATCCTTTGAGTAAACCAGTGCTTCCTCAGATGTGGGCATTTACCTACCACATTTATAATTGTTATCTGTAGCTAATTATCCTTGTAAAATTATTTACCAATATTTTCCCTAATTATGGGCCACATTTTTTTACTTAATCGGACCTATTTTAAAAGAAAGCAATATCCTCACCATAAATAGAGCATCCACCTGCCTTAAGTAGAAGTTAATGGAGAAAAATGAATTATTATAACATTCTTGGCTCCACATCAGCAGAGGTTCCCTCTGCTCTGCAAGTCTAAAAAAGTTCTTGTGTTTATTTAGTTGTCCCTTATCCAATCTGACTCCACTCACTATTTTATTTGAAATTAGATTGTCACCATATTATGATGCCAGACAGGTTAGATGGAAGCCTTCTAGTGCAGGGTCCCTCTTAAAACCACCTCTCGTAGCACCAGAGATTTGCATTCCACACTTGGGACACTTGACCACTAGGCCCTCAGGAAGTTTGTATCTCCCATATCATCTATTTTGCCACCCATGGGCTAGTGCAGCTGAATCTCAGTATGCCAGACAAAGAAGGTTTCCATGGGGAACCCTTTCATTCCTTCATTTGCTGAACATGTAAGGCTGGAGTACAGGAATGTGCTTGGCTCTGTTCCAGGGTCTGAGGAAACAGCAGTGAAAAGGGTTGACGATGTCCCTGGCCTCATGGACATTACCTTCTAGTGGGGGACACAGACACGTGCAAACCAGTGCACTAGGTCATATCAGATGGTGATAATTGCTACAACATTGAATACAGTAGGGCGGGGGCTAGAGAATGATAGGGTAGGGGCACTATTTTATTTAGGGAAGCTGATGGAGCTCCGAGGAGGCGACATTTGAGCACAGTCCTGACTGGAGAGAACAAGCCATGCAGAAATCTGTGGAGGGAGCATTTTAGGCAGAGGGAGCAGTGAGGACAAAGGACCAGAGACAGGAATGTGCTTTTATGGTCAGGTATCAGCAAAGAGGCCTGAGGATGGGAGCAGAGAGACAGTCAGCCAGGGTAGAAAGAAACAAGACAGAAAGGAGGCACAGGGCCAGTTCTGTGAAGCCTGGTAAGCTATGGTGTGGTGGCTTTACCATATGTCCCCAGATTCTTTGACTCTTTTCCCATCAAGAGGTGGAGTCTAATCCCCCTACCTCCCATTGAATATGAACTGCACATAGGGCAACAGAATGTAGCAGATGTAATGCTGTCTTTCTTCCAAAGCCAGGTCAAGGCAACTTCTACCTGGATATCTCTCTCTTGACTCTTGTGCTTGGACCCCAGCCACCATGCTGTGAGAAACCTTAGGCCACATGTGAAGGTCACATGGAGGTATTCTAGATGACAGTTCCAGATGAAGCCCAGCTAATGGTCATATCCACTGCCAGACACGTAGATGAGAAATCCCTTGAGATGATTCTAACCCAGTCACCATTTGACTATAACTGCATGAGAGACCCTTAGTGAAAACCGCCTTGCTGAGCTCAGTCAACCTCCAGGAGAGTGAGATGGATATCAACAAAATAATTGTTTGTTGATGGTCATAACAAACGATTATTGTTGCAAAGTTTGGGGTGGTTTGTTACACAGTAGTAGACAATGGAGACACATGGTTGTCTATTACTCTGAAAGAGATAGGGAGACGTTTGAGAATTTTGAGCAGAGGGCTTAGAATCCCCTAGGATGTTATCCCCATAAGAAAGACGTTGCTTTATCTTCACTATTATATCTCCAGTGTCAAAACAGCAGCTGGCAAAAATAAGCACTCAATAAACAATTCCTGAAGGATTTAGTCTAAAGAGGAGCATAGTCTAATTTATATTATTAAGAGATCATATTGATTGTGGCAGGGAGAACAGGTGGTAGAAAGCAAGAGTACAGCAAGGAGACCAACCCAGGCAACAGAGGAAACCCTTTCATGTTCTGCTTCATGTCTGGATCTTCTCACATTTCTCCTCCTAGAATTGGCCCTCCCACTGCCCTTGCAGGCCCCAGCCAGGGTTCCTCACCTGCCGGGAACTGACCTCCGCCCTCGCCGCAGACCTCCTCTCTCAGCTCATCCCTCTGCTGGATCCATTCCACCTCCTTCCAAAAGCCGTCCATGGACAGGCTCTCTGCCAAGGACAGCTGAGAGCAGCTGGCAGGGCGTGGTGGCAGGTGATTCTTCTGGGGAAGATGATTCATTTGGCTGGAGGGGGGGCCAGAGCTGTAGCAAGTGGGGAGGGTGTAGGGGAGTCAGCAAAGCTCTGCTCATGATGGAGTCTGTGCCGAGGGTTCGTGGTTCTCCAGAAGTCAGCCTGGGGCCTCTGGGAACTGGGCAAGCTCCCCAGACATGTTTCTCAGAGGTGACAGATGTATGGCAAGTCTTACCCATCACCCCCTGGGGACTCTTGGAAACCAGCAGAGGTCAGAGTAGAGCCAGACCACTCTGTTTGTTTCCACCTTCTTAGGCAAGGTGAGCAATCTTGGACGAACAGATGGTGGAGCCAACATTCACATGAGGGGATTAGACAGGACAGGTAAGGAAGTGACAGTGCAGCACTTCACTCATTTCACCAAATGTTTACCTGCAATGTTTCCTATTTCCTTCCTCTCACACTCCCTTCTCTGTGAAACTGTCAAAGCCCTGGTTCTCCTGTTTGGAATGTAGGACCACTTCATCTCCTCCCATGCCCCAGTCAGATGTGAACAGAGCAAATACCAGACCTCAGAGATGCCATCCATCACTGAGTCTCTCAAGGTGTTGAACCTAGGGCTTGAGGGGCTGGTGACAGGCACATAAACTGGGAAGCTATGATGGGGCTGGAGTGGCCAGTCTCACAAGAGAAGCAGTGAGGGGACTCTCTGCCGCCATGGAGGGATGGAGAGGTGACCTCCGCTTGATTTTTCAGGCCCCAGCTGCAGCCTCTCCTGACCCAGGCAATGTGGTTTACCCCCTGAGCCTTGACTCCTCCACCCTTCCCTTTAATCCCCTCTTCTTTCCAAGCTACACTAAATAGATTTCCACTTCACGCAATCAAATCCCAGAACACGCAAGTGTGAGTCCCCTGGTCTAGACACATGACAGTCCAGGGCTTCCGATAAGATCAAGGGTCAAACTTCTGTGCTGCTTGGCAGAACCTTTGAGAAATGGTGGGATTGGTATTAACACAGAAATACTGGAGTCTGCACAGACTCTGACACATATCAGCAAACAGACCATAAACTACCCCTGCTGGAAAAATGGGAGGAAATACATTTCTAGTTTCCTCAAATGGGGGGAAAAAGTGTACTCTACAAATTCTGTTTATATTTGAGCTCAGTAGTGATCTCAGGCAAGATTCTGGAACAGATTTCTCTGATCCATCTGGAAACAAACAAAAGACAAGGAAAACAGTAAACATAAATGGTTTGAACTGCCCTATTAAAGAAGACGATGCAATAATTTGGGTTAAAAAAAAATCATCTATATGCTGCTCTTAAAAGGCACATAATACAAAATGGTAAAGGTTAAAAGTACACACAGTTGCAATATATTGGATACATGCTGACAAGAAGGACAACAATATGACTTTCAGATTAGGAAGGCTTCTTGGGATGGGAGAGGGGATCTACAAAGAACCTAACAGTCATTCTTACACGTTTAATAACATAGCAGAAGATATAAACAGGAGCTGCTAGAAGCATGAAATTGACAAGATGTTGACCTTGGCACTTGCTCTTTCCTCACAGGAACCTTTCCTGTTACCAAGTTTGCCGGGTTTCATCTCTCATACCTCCGTGTCTTTGCAAAGCTTGTCCCTTCTGCCAAGGACGGGTTTCCCCAACACCCTGGCCACTGCATCCTTCTTACATGAGATCTGGCCTGCTCTTGTGGCACTAGAAACAAGATTTCAAAATGAGAGCTTGGTGAGGTAGGACAGGGAGGACTCCTCAGGCACACACCAGGAGACTGTCAGCTTTGTGGGACAGGGTGGGGTAAGGGGACGTCACAACATCAGTGTGTGGGACACAGGTGGCCCTGCTGTGCAGCTGCCCAGGGGACCCTGCGGCTACCTTCTCAGTCCCCTCTCCACTTCCCCCTTGTGTAGCAGGGTGACCTCACCCCCACCGATCACACCCCTGTGTGAATGACTGCTAACAGGCATGGTGGCTGCTCTGGGTGATGCGTGCTCTAAAACGGATTGGGATGATAGCTGCAGAGCTCCATAATTGTACTGAAAACAGATGACTTGGACATTTTAAATGGGGGAATTGCAAATGCCTCAACAAAGCCCACACCAGTCCCACGTTTCCTTTTCATAGGGTCCAGATCTAATGCTGGTTGCCTCTCTTGGGTTCTTTCTTTAGCACTGAAAACATCTGCGGGGTTTTAAAAACATTTTGTTTTCCCATTATAAAACCAACATACAGTTATTGTAAAAAAAAATCAGAAGTGGACAAAGTAGAAAATGAATATTTCCCCTGAAACTTCTACCATGCTATCCGCGCTAATGCTGCAGCGTGTGGACATCTCAGATTTCTCTGCAGGCATATTCTGCCGGGAGGCAGGCACCCTCTTTGTCACACCATGGACCCTGTTTCAGGCTCCCCTCGGCCAAGACACAGAACTCAATTCCTCCTCCAGCCCTGCACGAGCCATAGGAACGCTGAGCATTTGACAGCTTTTTGCTGAGAAGCTGGACGCTCACATGGGGGTCCCCACACAGGGTGGCTTGCTGGAAACATTCCCCATCTGGGAAGGAGGTGAGCATCCCCTTTTGATGGAGGTTTGGTTGTTTTCATTTGTCAGTATCACAAGTGTTGCTGCAACAAGCATTCTAGGACTTGTTACCGGGCACCAGCAGGAGAGAACTCTAGAAGGAGAATTGTGGAATCAAAGAATTGGTGAAATTTGGACACTTCTTGCCCAGTTGCCTTCAAAAAAGGATTGTTCTACTGGATTTTTGTGTTTGTGTTGACTTTACTCCTGCTTGGCCTCCCTCTTGTGGGATCCTGTGCCCCGGAGTCCCTGAAGCTGTATTTTGCCCTCAACCGGAGACCCTACCCACTGATGGTCCCCCAGTCTCTGGAGGTGTGGTCCAGGACCCAGCGCCATCTCCACAGATGTGCATTCTCTGTGGTCACACAGTCTTTGGTGCTTCAAAGGACCCGCGCTTGACTCGGTGCTCTGCTGCCACCATCTTGAAATTCTTAATAATACTGACTAGGGGCCGTGTTCTTTTTGCACATGGCCTGTGTAAGGCAAGTGCAGAGAAAGAGAGGACGAGCCAAGTGATTAGACAAAGAAAAGAAGTTTATTAAAGGAGAGATAAGAGGAGACTGGCTTCAAAGAGAAACCAACACCTCTTTGTTTTTGTGGGTTCCTTTTATACCCCTAGCCAGGGTCTGGTGATCATGCAGCATGTGTGGTCCAGAGAGAGCAGGGGCTGGTGGTCACGTTGCCTCGAAAAAGCAGTTTGGAGGTGAGAGTGATACAGCCTTGGGACGAAATTCTTGGGAAAGCAGGTGTCGGCCATAAAACTGTCAGCAACAAGATGCCATTAATTACTCAGTCTTAGGATGCAACCTTGAGAAAGCAGATGTAGGCTGCAAAAGCAGTTAGTGACAGGATGCTGTTGGGGTAGAGTGGTCAGCTTCCCAGGTCACTGCAACCCTACATCCCATTTGCGAGGTTCACACAGTGAGCTATTTTAACAACGGCCCCCCTGCCCCTTCCCCCATGTAAGCCCCATTGCCCTGCCCTGCAGGACCTTTCCTGCAGACCCTGACTTGTGCCTTCCCTCCCAAGAGTCCTGCCCACACCTGGAGCTCAATGCCGAGGCATAAACACTTCCGGAAACACACTCAGATGCGGTAAAGCTCCAGCCCGCCGGTACCCGTAGGAAAGACTGAGGCACACTCTCCTGGCAACAGCTTGGCCATTTGCACCAAGCAGAAGCTTTGCTGGAGATGAGTCCCAGTTAATTATAAAATTGGCCGTTTGCTCTATTTATGCTTTTCGAGAAAACTGCTAGTCGGTGCCTCCTGCGAGTCTGTTTGGCACCCCATGCTGGGGCCCAGCTCGGTCTCTTGTTGCTTTGCGATTCGCTTGGAAATTGCTGGCATCTGTGTGTTTTTGTGACAATTTGAAAACTGTGGCGACTAAACCAAAACAAAAGTCGTCAACTGTGTCACCATTTGATAGCTAAGCAATGAGGGGAGAGCAATCCTTTCTTTGGATGGGCAGTCTGAGTAGGTCAGAGAGGGGCAGGGAAGAACAGAAGAATGGAAGAATGGAACGGAGCAGAAGGAAAATGAAACACCCACAGCTCTAAAGGCTTCATTGTTCCAACATCACGTCTTGCAGTGTGGCCCTGAGACTCCCTTTAAGGAAGAAAACGGTGAGTGCTCAGCACACTCACACAATTTGGAGCCCAACAAACACAGCCATTTTTGTTTTGTTTCCAGCATTTTGTTGGTGTGTAGTGTAAGCAGAAAACTGCACAGCTCCTAAGTGTCTCCAGCTGCAATTTGGGCTTTAAACTTTTACTAGGTACTGACAACACGCCCAGCAGCAGACATGCCCAAGCATCAGTTTAATATCCACATCGACCCCATGTGGGGGTGCCACTGCTCCCAATTTACAGACAAGGAAACAGACCCAGCAGGATTCGGAGACCCATGCTGACTTGTCCAGTTGGCAAGTGGCAGAGATGGGATTTGAACTCAGGTGGCAAGCTCCAGCACAGGGCTCTCAGTTGCCACGACAGATGATCCACGGAAGCCCCAGGTATAAACGGAGTGATCTGAACGCATCTTCTTCCCCACTGCAGGTCCCACAGCCCTCTTGGCGTTCCGTGACTCACCAGATGGTGCCATCAAGCACTCTAGAGCTCTCCCTGACACGCTCCCGGGTATCTCCACATCCCACTAGCCACTAAGGAATCCTGGCCTTCATACGACTCACATCCACCAACCTCCCCCCATTTCCCTGGCCATTGCCCTGGTCCAAGCCACCATCACCCTCTCCTGGACACAGCCTCATCAGTCTTCCTTCCTTTCTCCTAGGTATCCCTCTCTGCTTCAAAAAGATCCTTCAAACTCACAAGCTGCCAGTCAGTCGCCTCTTAGAATCCTTAATGGTGTCCCAGGACACTAAGCATAAAATTCAAATGACTTGCTATGGCACTGGTGTGACCTGTCTCCATTTCTAGCCTCCTCTT